TCTCCCCCCCCCCCCCCCGCTTCCGTCTTCCCCTCCTCCAAGCACACCACTACTTCGAGTAATGTTGAATGTGTAAATCCTACAGAATTTGAATTAGCTGACTCATTAAATAAATTCAAGAGTTATACAATGACCAACCAACAAGACAAGCTATGGAGATCGTAAAAGACATTAAAAAAACATTCAAAGTATGGGGAATGCTGTGTGCCGATGATGCCGGCATCGATTCGAGGTCTGCAGAAGGACTGGCGAGAATGATGACCATCATCGTTGAGGTGTTCAGGGAGTTCGGGCTAACGGTGTCGGAGAAGAAGACGGAGACGCTCCTGATGCGCGCAAAGGACAAGCCGACTACAACATCACAGCCCGCCCCGACTCCACCACTGACCATCGAAGCCGCGGGACAGAAATACGCCCAGACGACCGAGTTCCGGAACCTCGGTGGCCTCGCAACGAACATGGCGACCTCACCCGGGAGATCAACTACAGGAGCAGAGGAGCGTGGGCGTGCCTCAGGCGATATGGCCGGGAGCTCTTCGACAGACCGCAAGCGCCCTTCCGACTCAAGATCCGCCTGCTCCAGGCGGAGGCGATGGAGGCACTACTGTACGGCTGCATGATATGGTCACCACTCAGCGGCCACTATCAGATGCTGCGGTCGATACACCACCGACTGCTCCTTCGAGTTATCGGGTAATCTGCCAGGAGCTTTCAGCACGACCACCAAGGACGCGCAGAAACCGACCAGGTCAGGCGAAGTCTCCACGCGCAAGGGGATCACGATGATGCTGGACAACAAGCGCCAGTACCGCCCAAAGCACAACTTGGTGCGAGGAAGACGTCAGGGATCGAACGCGGGCAGGCTGCGGTGAAGGGTGGGTCCCGAGGACGTAGTACGTGGATGATGGACGAGATGAGGCAAATGCGGCGGTGGTGGCCTTTGAGGAGCGTGGGCCATGGCCGGGGTGGGAGTGGCATGTGGTGCCCACAAAAACGGCCCTTATATTAGAGCGGAAGAGTTGATGGTTGGTGTTGTTTCGCAGGGGCCGAAACTGATTCCTGCCCCTCGCCTGGTTGTTATTAGGCGGGAAGATTCGCCGTTTGGTATCCATCCCATGGCGCGATACTTGCCGGATTGAATTTCTGTTAGCCAATCCCCCCCCCCCAACGCTGCTGCACCATTATTATTGCACCAAAACCCCACTTGTAATGACGTACCATTACAATGTATCGCTGGTTGGTGGCCATGTTGCGTGTTTGCTTGTCGATAGTGGTCTCTCCACCGTGTGCCTTTTTCTGTCTCTGATGTCTGGATATTTTCGGCGTGGTCCCTTTTTGTCCTCGCTCTTTCTATTTCATTTTCTCTTTCCTTAGTCTACTGTTTCCTTTTATTTTCTTCTCTTTTTCTCTTTTTCTCTCTTTTGCTGTGCCAGATGGCCTTGCCTCTGCTTGCGTTGTGAAGTACCAAGATTGATCCAAGGGGGTGTACCTCATTCTCTCCGGCCCGTGATGGTGACTCCTAGTCTCAGTTGTTACCTCGCATAGCGCGCAGAGGGAGTGAAGGACTCCAGAATACCTGTCGTTGATTTCAAATTAGTATTGACTTGCGAACCCCTCGGGGCCATTTTATTTCAGTGTACCTGTTAGGGTAAGTTAGCCTGCGACCACGGGAATCGACCGCGTCGAGTGTTGGATCAGTACGGACATACGAAGGTACTGAGTAGAGGGAGATCGGAACGGTTTTTAATGTGAAGACAACAACAACAACAATCCAATGGTTGGAGGAGAAAAGGAGTTGGGAAGATTCCTGCGGGGGAAATGATTGATGAAAGGGTCTTTTTATCCCGACAGGTCAGGGTACGTTTACGAAAACAGGGTACAGTTGTTGAGAAAAGTAGTCACGGCAGGGTATTCCCTGCGCCTTTTTTTATTTTCTTGATATCACACAAAAAATCCATCTCTATATAAATAAGTCTAAGATAGAACAGCAATGAATCCATAGCGTGAGCGAAAGGCTACTTGTATGTCTACGGTTTCCCAGACAGCATACAACGATATCTCCCCTGTGGGTAACAGGCTCAACAAGGCAGTTTGGTAGCCATCTTGTGTATCTATCTGTATGTTATGCTGGGAAGTTGTAGACGGAAGATTTACGGACGCACCGGGGTGAAATTGTGCGCTGACCAATGATATGAGTGCATTTACTGCTGTTAATGACTGTATACCCAGGTGTGTCGCTTTTCGACCAGGGTATACCCTGTTGTGTCGTTTTCCCAATAAAAAAACTCCGCAAAAACTTCGCATAGAATAATATGCACACCCCGTACCGAAGCACAGCAGCAGCAGCAGCAGCAGCCTCAACGCGAACACACACAACCCCTGACGTCGATGTATTTGCAAAACGTTTTCTACGCAGTACCGACACATTGCTAGCGGGACGCACAATACACCTGAAGAAAACAGGCACCGCAATCACAATCATGCCACCGCCGTCGTCCCATCCCAGGAAACGGGTTTCTTGCTCCAGAAAAATTGAGGTACATACTCCGGGTAATTGCTCATATGTAGTAGGTAAATCGAGTCCAGTCCTAGCCAACTCCACCGCCGTGCCGTACATGACCCGACTAGAGTACTTCTTCCTCAACGTGTCCAATATCCACTGTTTGGTCGATGGATGTATGTTTGGCAAGAATATTGTTTTTCAAATCGATCATGGACGAGAGGAACCGAAAACTGACAGACAGGTGTCTGGTTGGTATCATGCCCCTCCCTCAACTCTCGCTGGCGGGTGTAGAGAGATACCGCCACCACGTGCTTCTACTGCAATGTAGTACGAAAGTAGAGGCCACACGCAGGCCACACCACCGGATCACACTGCTGCCGAGACGTTCGAGCCTGGAACAGAAAAACAAGTGCCCGGATACTTGAAAAGGTATGTGGCGCGCATGTAGGCAACACGGACGCCCAGCTATAGAAACACCAAGACAACAAAACTGTACATGTCAACACTTCACGTGACGGCAAGCATGAAGACCACCAAACGAACAAGGTGGGAGAGCATCACAAACAAAAATTCAAACCGCACTCCCAACTACTTTACATACGAACCATCGAGCCTCCGAGTCTCACACACGCAACAAATGAGGCCAACCGAAACCGCACAGCATCCAAAGTATGCGCACTCATCCAACATCCAAAGCCAAAACAAACTCATACGAAAGGCCTCGCCGCGATTCAAGCAACGACCCTTCACCAGCCCCACCTGCACACCCTGCACTTGGCTTACGTTTCATCGATCGGCACGTAGAACACGCGTCAGGAAACTTCAGAATAGGGGGCCCGAGCGGCATGCGCACGACAGAATGTTACAGCACACACATTGACAACACAACAAAGAACACGCACATAATACAGTGACACGACGAAGAAGAAGTCGCCACTGCTGGCTTCTGGCCAATGGGCGGTTTCTCCCTTCCTTACCGTCCGGGGGTCACAAATACCAGATCCAACGCGGAACATCTTTCGCATGTCCTGGCGGAAACGTTTGACGCCCTTCATGCTTTCGACTGGGCACTCCGCCGCTGCACTCCTATTGCTCTTCACGAAACCTGCTTTCGATTGATGAAATAGCGACCCCCCCGTTATCTTGCCCTAGCGGTAGCCCCAACTTCGTATCTATGCCCTCCACTCAACACCTCTTCCTTTTCGAAGTTCTGTGACCGTCCCATGCATGTCACCGCAGTGACTCGTTGTCGTTCAACACTCGATCGCACAACCGGCACATGGCGTTTATCCCGTACGCCGAGCGAGAGATGACCTTTTGCGTTGACAAGAATTCCGAAACAGGCAGAGGGGTGGGCGACACAAGCGGGCACGATCTACATCCGCTTGTGTATGTAGTAATAGGGTGACGCGGAAGCTGAGCTTGAAAGAAGTACCGGTGAGAGGGAGCCACAGTGCCGCGAGAGATAGGAAGCGGGGGTGGCTGCAGGTGCAATCAATGACCGACAATGGGCAACGGCGGCCGTAGAAACTGCTCTGCGTTGTATGAGCACTGCTCCAATCAATTGAATGGTCCCGGTTGAAATCCTTCCACGATGAAACCTTAAGCCACCATATGATGGACGTTGAAAGACTGCTGGCTAAATGCAGGCGTAATAAAACATTGGCTTGCCAATCGCTTGTCATGCCACAAACACACTAATCCTGGCGTGATATTTCGGAAACTCGAAACACAAGCGCGAGTCACCTTCCTTACCTCCAATGTGGGCGCTGTTTGTGCGCAAGACAAAACGTACACAGCAACAAGGGTGGATCACGTGCATGTTTCGTATATATCCGTGCGTTTCACGGACGAGTCTACTTGTTCTTGTATCGAGGGAGCAAACCTCGGCAAACCGCTTTTCCTCCTCAGGATCGTCTCTCCACTTGAAGTACGCTTCGTAGGCCTCTTCGTTAGCCGCCAGCATCTTCAGGTGCTTGCCCAGCTCCGCCGGGCTAGAGAAATCAGAAGCCTTCAAGAAGAAGGACACGTGCAAAAAAAAACACAGGCAGCGTCGTAAGAACAATCGCACAAACGAAAATGAATTTGAAATCCCAGCGGGGAGCCTACCTTACTTGGCCAAGCTCAAGAAATCCGAACCCTGACATAAACAGATGAAAATGCGACGATGAACTCATACCAGACACGAGATGGGTACGATCATTTTGATCGTGTTGGGTAAACGTTGAACACATGTTTCAAGTAGTCAGGCTCCTAGCTGGCGGGAAGGATAGTCAAGCTGGGCGAGCGACCGCACACCAACACCGGTTCCCAGTGACACCAATCATGAGCTGCTGCACGAAGAAGGTTGGACGCTCGTGGGCTTCGGACACAAGATGGGATGCTTCGCAAAGATCTCAGGCGGGAGACACCCTCTGCTACATTCCGAAGGTATTAACAAAAATATGGTAACTTTTTCACTTCAGTATCGTTTTCTGCAGAAACAAAACGCCAACCCTTGCAGGAGAAGCCGGTGATGTTACGTCCCAACGCTCAAACCTCAGCTACCGCATGCGAACACCAGTCGCCCAACGCCAAGACAAGAAGGCATCAAAATGCCCTTGCGCGCAAAACTCGGGCGCTCCATACGTATGTTGTCGATGTCCTTGTCCCGTAACATCGGCGTATACCAGTACCCTCAGAGCAGTGTCCATCACATAGCGCCGACCATGACGAATGAGAAATTGCGTGAGGGAGGTGAAGTACCGGTACCCGCCAAAACGCCGGTATGCAGCGGCGGTACATTCCAGCATCGTGCAGGCATCACCTTGGGTTAGCTGCGTCTGTCATGTTGCTCACCTTGACCACCGAGCCCTTTGGAACGAAATCTTCGACGTTTTCCGCACCCCAGTACACCGGTAGAGTGCCCGACTGCAGCCCGTTGTACACCTTCTCGGTAACGTAGTCCCTTATTCTTACAAAAAGGAAATAACAAAAACAAAGGATAGCAGCAACGACTTCGAAGTGGATACAACCATGGTCAACCTCCCCTTGACCTGCAAGATCGCCCCAGTGGCTGAACTTGTCAGGTGGTAACCGCGAAACGCTGCGACGTCAAATCTCGGCGTAGTTTCACATACAATCAGGAACACTTTCCCACAAAGTGCCCAACCAAAACCGATAGAGACTACTTCGTGTGTGCGCATGAAAAGTCGACTTCACGATCGACTACGAACCGGACGAGGGAACATTTTTTACACAAAGCGGTCTAGGCATGCACCGCAGAAGAAATGTTGAAAAACACAACGTGTGTGGCGGTGCTCCTGTGGAAGCCTGGACTGACATGTCCAGCAAACCCACCATCAGGTGGACAAACGACGCATCATGCAAATACCCACAAAAAGTGCTATACTACAAGTACAGCAGCACTGGGAGCGCACGACAAACATGGCACACCACGATCGATGCCTCACCGCTGGCCGCTTTCGGCCGCACGAGAAGCTTTGCCGCGGCTACGATGGATGAGACACTCACTGATTGTTGTTCTCGAAAGCAAGAAGGAATTTGTAATGGCCGAGAACGGCGACCTTGTTTTCTTGCCGGTTGGTTGCCCCGCCTCCAGGAACAAGCTGCGGCTCTTCCCTGTTGTGGTACAGCAGAGTTTAATACTTTCACACAACTTAGCCTCAATGGTTCACCTCGACATGATCTTCTAATAACCCTCCACACGTGAATTCGAATCCCGGCGAATCGTTCGAACTCCAGGTAGAATGTTTCTTAAAATACAACCAATTTAACGTGGATACCGATAACTCGTGTGCACGCAAAATTCAAATTGACACCCGACGGTGGGTAGGCACGGCATCGTTGTCGCGAGAAAAAAACACCGCAAGCACCCCAGCAGGAGAAGTTTTTTCGGCCTGGCCTTCTCGTGTCACCCCAGCTGGTGCGCACAACAACACACCACAAAGATGCAGACATGTACTCGCCAAAACACACCTACAGTGAGCCCTGGCAGTGTTTCCTATATCCCACGACATCTACAAAACAACAACCCCACCTGTTGTGCAAGCAATAGCCGAAAGAGTGCACCGTAGCGTGCTTCATCAGCTCCTCCATGTACGCGAACCGGTTGGTAGCTCCGGCGGCTTTGCAGTTTGACACAAACGCTGCTATCGCATCTGGAGACCCGAAGCCGTCCTTTTGCTGCAGGAGAAGAGGGCGAAAGCCGACAATCAACCAAAACAAATGAGCTGCGATGTATCTTTCCATTGTGAAACACTGACTTCCACACGAGACGTGAAGACTACAAACATTCTATGGCCGTGCGTGCCAACCCCCTACTTACAAGAACAGCAATGAGCGACGTGTCATTCTCCTAGAAAGAACATATGAAACGGTCTCCACAATTTTCATTATTTCACGTGGCAGGGAAACAACCCGACCACTACGTGCGAATGTCGAAACAAACCGCGGGCAAAATATTCGAAAATATAATTCTATATTCGAAGAGCCTATTCTACAGGGAAGCAACAAAACTGAATCTTGAAGAAATGCAGTATACTAGACTTTTTGGTGTTGACGGGGGTAACCCAGACCAGAGAACAACCGTGCTCGTGCAAACACGCGATACGCTCTCTGCACATCAGCAAGTTATTGACGGAACACGCGCCGCCGACCTACAGAGTCAGAGGTTCGGTGGCTCGAAATACATGTAAAGGGATTGGATGCATCTGATACACGAATAGGGGAGGTTGAGGATGGCAGGGATGAACCCAGCCAGGTTATCCCCCCATTCGTTTCGCATTGTTACGGCTGCCGTGTTGGAAGCCGGGGGAGAGAATCCGACAAGGGTAATACGGAAAGAAGGTACGTGAAATCGGGCATCGATACAAAGCAGGTCCATCCGCAACAAGGGTAATACAGAAAGAAGGTACGTGAAATCGGGCATCGATACAAAGCAGGTCCATCCGCAACAAGGGTAATACAGAAAGAAGGTACGTGAAATCGGGCATCGATACAAAGCAGGTCCATCCGCAACAAGGGTAATACAGAAAGAAGGTACGTGAAATCGGGCATCGATACAAAGCAGGTCCATCCGCAACAAGGGTAATACAGAAAGAAGGTACGTGAAATCGGGCATCGATACAAAGCAGGTCCATCCGCAACAACCTTCAACACTCGCGCGATGATGTTGTATCTCACCCAACACCCAACGGAGGTGAATCCATTGTCAACCGAAAAATACCAAAAGAGCTGACACAACATCGACTTGTGCATGTTGACTGCTGTTACCCAGGGGATCGTTGTCCCGCGACCTGGACGTGCTCGTTTACCTCCCTTCGGGTTTGGTATGTATTCGCCAACGGGAACACATCTGTTCGTTACCATTGAACAAGGGATGACTGAATCGAGGTTCTGGGAAAAGGTCAGGACTGGATCCTATTGTCATTCACAAGCAACACATGCACACCAACCGCAACCAACTACCAACAAGAATTAATGATAGGACACACGCCGTACCGTCGCCCAGTGCTAGGAGGATGCACAAATGAAACCTGCCTAACGCACTTCGACACATGCATGCAGGTATACTCTGAGCGTCTTCTTCACAAAACAACATGATACAATCATAGCAATGCACCTCATCCAGCGACACAAATCGCATCTATAAGTTCGAAAACACGCGATACGTCTCCAACGAAGTAGGACAACAGGAGTAGCCGACTTCTCGTACCTTGAAGCTAGCCTTGGGCGCCTTGAAGTACCTCGAGGTCGAAGAGCTGCCCACATACCCTAGTGGCACGTCGCTATTCCGCTCGTATGTCATCGAAAGGTCAAACTTGGACATCAACTGGCCGTCGAAAATGCAACGGGGGTTGAGCACGAGGATACCATGAACGGTCAGCCCACGACGATAAGAGGATGAACTAGCGGCACCAAACACAGGGTCACAAAAACAACATGCACTCTGCCTAGGATAACAATAGTAAGCTACGACCGCATCAGCATTATTGGGGAACTGTCCATCTCATCGCACGAGCGACTGATAGTGGCGGGAGTATGAGGAGCGCGTTCAAGATTGGAAAACGAAAACATCCTAACAGACCACGTGGGATATAACAGCTACAGCACCAACAACCTGAACAACCACCACCACTACACACCTGTTTGTCGCGGAGGAGAGGCTGCACATTCTTGTAGGTTGTGGGTTCGAGGTTGGCAAAGACGTAGTCTACGGCGGGTGGCTTTTGTTTCGGAAACCCGTCCTTCCTGTTGAACGTGGGGAGGTGGAACAACACGCCGTCAGCCCTCGGCAGCAGACTCTGAGAAAAACGGAGAGTTTAAACACGCAACAAGCAAGCAACGCCGGGAGCGCACAGGAACAGTTCGAAGGCAACTCGGAAGGGCGAGCAAGACAGCCCACGGTGCACTTCGCTGTCGAACGTTCCCCACATCCTCAAGGCTTTGCCGTTCGACGCTGGTGGGAGCGGCAGTGTGAGGTCGGGAGAATATTCCAACAAATACAAAAGTGAAACCGATGGACAAATCGTGAACCAACGGGGCACCCTTAGGGTGCTGGACAAGACAGAACACAACTGGTACCGTTGTCGGCGACGTACTCAGCACCTCCTTGTGGCAGTACAACTTCATGAACGTATCAGTAGCTCATCTGCAACCATGGATTGCGGAAGGCTCGTCGCTCATGCTTGGGGTTGTTGACTAAGACGACTTCCGCCCTGGGCAGCTGATTCCGACCGGTGATGTATCGCTAGGTCGTACAAGTGCGTGTGGCCAGGAATGCAAATGGCAATCTCAGGAAACCGTGCGACACGAGTGCCGACTTAGGTTTGCCACTATGACCGAGACAACATGGGGTATGCAAAGGTGAGCAAACGGCAAAATGTGACATTTCTATGTTGCTACTCGTATTTATTCATTCCGGACGCTCCAAGAACATAAACAAAAAACGACGCATTTCTTGGTTTTTCCCACCCTATCGTTGGTAAAGACGCACTCCGTAGCACAGATGTCCCTCGCGTCGTTGACAAAAGATGGCCGGAGATAGTCCAGCCACCCCTGGTCAAGATGGAGTAAGGCCGGCCGGAGGAAGGAGAAAATAATCAAAGCCCGAAGCGATTTGTACAAGATTTGAAGGAACGCGTGTAAATTTGGGTCCGGCGGTAGTCGAGCCAACTGTGAAGCTGTACTAGGGGAAAACAGGCACCCAACGAGAGTATACTGCAATACACACACCAAGTTTGTGCACGCTCCTTATGTTCTGTTTCAGAAAAACAAGAATGCCACAAAGGAAAACACACAAATGTTCGACGTACGCTCGTCTGGCACCACGGAAGTCGTCTGCCTCTGTCACAGAAGCCGTGCGGTCCATGAGCGTCAAAGTTTCATACGGTAACGAGAACCGAAACTAGCGTTGTCCCGATATCGAGTGAGGGAATCTTGCAGGAACAGGTTTAGCGACGATTGTAGCATGAGGTCGACCTACCCCGTCGCCCGAAAATGCCCAACAGCAACAAGCCTCACATTAATGTTATTCCAGACCACGACAATGGCGCGATTTCGGCCTCTTGATGGGGGATCTTCCAGGCTGAAGCCGTTCATGCCTAGCACCCTGTCGCAGTTCTGGAGCAAGTTGACGCGCAGGCACATCGATCGACATGTACACACCATTTAGTGCAAGCGGGACATGCACAACAAGTGGTGCTTGTAGAGAAACACCAGGAGACACAAGCAGCACACGCTCGATGCACTTCCGGATCAGCCGATCGATGCAAGCATGGGAAGGTATCATCCTTAGCTCGTGCAAGTGCAGCGTTGTGAAGGAAAAATCGCATCACATTAATTTCCAGCCGGGGTTGTGAGAGCTACGAGCACAAATTACATCGCGGCGCTACTTGTGACCAGGAACTTTCATCATCGTCAGGACGCTGCTCTTTTCGGTGCTGCCAAACCCATCATAACCGAACCGACAATCGCGAGACATCGGTATTGTTGGACCATTGCCCCTGGGCGACGATTGCTGTTTTGGGGGGGGAGGGGGGGGGGGGGGGGGG